ACTCAGGGCAAGTAGATATTTACATACCAATCTGCAGTCACTGTTCTTTCGTCTTCAAGCGATATAGTAGTGTAATGTCCTGATTTGCCGAAGAAAGGAGCAACCATTTTCTTACCAGTGTGCTCCGACTTTTCTTTCATTCGTCGGCGAATCTTCAAAAGGATTTATCGATTCTGCGGACTCGCTTTTTCCTTCCGGTTCAAATCAGTACACCCAGGCTTCGTCACTTGTCACGACATTATATACAACCAATGATTGTTGACCACCTTTAATTTCTTTATCAATTTAGGGCACCACTCTACATGCTCTGATGTTCCATTAAATCATGCGGTATCCATCGAGAGCAAAGTTTCCGAACCTTCAGATGCACATCCAATATCTTTTGCATACGACTCATTCCAATGCCTAGCACAATACGAATTTGCTGACAAGTAATTTTACGTCAGTTTCAATCAGTTGTCGTATGGTATCAATATTCAATTCGGCAACCTCAGTCGCCGGCCGACCTTCACGTACATCGTCATGGAGGTGATCACATCCACGCCTAAATTCACTGAACCACGAATAGACAGAGCTACGACAAGGGGACTAAATCGTCTATAACGACGATAAGACTTCATCACCATTTGGTGATTGAGGTCTTTGACAACGCTCTTGTTGACTGAAGCGATATCGAAAATAATAGAAAATCGTAGACCGAAAATTATCACGACTGATTTTCAATGTAATTAAGACTCACAGTTTCCAAAACGACGCCACAATGAAAATAGTTATTGTATTGCATTGAGTGCTTGTACTGAAACCTCAGCAAGCGAAGGAATTTAAGATTCAAAAATAGAGCTGAGCATAGCGAGGGTTTCAAGTTACGGGACGCAAAACAACTTTGCTGCCGAGCGAAACATACACCTTTTCACCTCACTACAGCGACAAAAGTGGTAGATGAAAGGGAATAGTTGAAGTTGAGTTGTACGACAAATCGCGTAGTTAAATGTGCCATTATGTGTTTTTTCCTCAAAGAAAGTAAGAAATAGTTAGGTGCACCACAGTCCATCGTCAAGTTCGAATTCCAAAAACCTTTTCCACGCTAGCGTGGTAAAAACGCTTTTGCGCGCAAATTTCTAATGAGAAAGAAAGCCTTTCCAAGCTAGGTGAAAAATAAATAACAGTCTCTTATAGTGAAAAGTAACCTACTCCCGGAGAGTTCGTTTTTCAAATTTCGAATTTGTTTCTTTAGTTTCAGTTCCTGCAACTTTAAGTATTCATTTCTTTGAAACATTAAGTAAAATAATCAAAAACAATTTAAACTTTGTAACTTTTGGAAAGTATGTTGTTTGTTGAAATTGTTTCCAATTTGTATTTATTACCAGTAGGAGAATTTTTAATGACTCATAATAACTTTTGTACACGCACAAGTTTAATAAATATGAAGGACAAAAACGTCACAGATTCTAGAAAGATCTGACATGGGTTCCTTTGAAAGGTTACTTAGGTAACCTAAACAGTACTTATTTTAGTTGTATTCGTTTAAATAATGTTTTAAGTGTTTGTATGATTTTCAAGTATACATTTTTGTAAATAATGGCGCCAGGTCTTTTTCCAGCCCGACTTTATTGCTCCATCAATACGGCTAAACGTTTCTGTAATGTAGTAAATAGTTGCGGATGGAGGATGGACATGCACTTACATATTGACTTGGTTATTTTAGATGCACTATTCACACTTTATTATTTCAATGAATAATTTCACTCCTTGTCGTTTCTTTCACAGAAAATAATTGAATATCAATTCAATACAAAAATTACAATTAATAGCGACATCTCTAGCCAGTAGCTGTAAAGTTACCTAACTGGGTGACAAAATACTTTCATAGATTTCTCATAGATGGCGCTACGGCTAAAAAGTCGTTGAAAACCAAATTACAAAAGATCCGACAACTAGCACATAGGAACATTCGTAAGGTCTGCTGGTTCATTCAGTGGCTTAGTTGGCATAGCGTCTGGCACGGTTTGAGTATCTTTTTATATGGCCAATCCAATTTCCAATTGTGAAAACTCCGTCATAGATGGTTTCCAATCATGGGCACCTAAATATGAATGATCAACTATTGAGTTAAATTAACAAATTCAATCTTAAAAAAACAGATCTTGCATGGTACTTAAACTTATTTCTAAACGAATGGTGTAATGTTTTATACGACCCATTTGTGATTGGTAACAATGGGTGGTCATTCGCTTCAGTGCCATGTTAAAAAACTCAAATCAAGTAAAAAACGACCACTGACGGACATTGTTTCCATTACCGTATAGACTTAAAATAAGGTTATAAGCTATAAACTAAATTAAAACTCTGGCTTTACAAAGACGGTAAACACAAGTAAAGATCTTTAATGATAAAATCCGATTATGGGCAAAAATGTCCATGATTGGGTAAACCGGTAAATGAGATCCAGTAATAAACACTTCAAATTTTCCAATACACGTTATGTTATTTATTTACGGTTACGTTTTGTTTAGATGCTTAAAATAACACCAAAACATAAGATTATCACACTCAAATATCACGTTCAAATATGATAAAAAAGAAGTTACTTGAGGCGCAGTCCTTATAAGAATTCCGTTTTTTTTAATTTGTTATCACCGTTTTCGCATTGCGATAATGGCGGATACAGATGACCGCCAGCTGTCAAAATTGAACTGACGTCTTCTTAAATTGGACATAGTTATGCAAACTAGAAGCAACCCACAAAATGTAACTTTCGAGATAATTAGATTTTAAAAAACAGCGTGAAGAAATAAATAGGTAAGTTATTTGAGACAAACAACGTGAGTTATGTGTAGCATTGAGAATGATATAGTCAAACTATTATATTATACAGCAATAAATAGGAAACATTATGTATCTTTTTATTTCCTTAACGAGAACCATGTTCTAGTTGTCGTAATGAAAACGCTAAAGATCTACAGTACTTCAGTACATGTGACATGGATCCACTTAGCATATTTAAAAAATACATTATGTGAAGTTAAGCAGCATGACTCTTTTTAGCTATTAAAAAGTTACTTATTTAGGGTTGGTATCCTGAAAGACTTTTATTTTCTCCGTTTTATGTTGGTATATTGCCAGGACTTGATGTAAGCGGGTAAAGGACACGTCTGGTGTTCTACCTAAAATATATAACTCAATTGCACTCGAGGTGTGGGTTGGTTCTTATTTGCATAACTATGACCAATTTTGAAAGTGAAAATAAACAAATAGCATTTCCTTATTTTTTGGCGGAATAGTTAAAAAATGTTCATGGTAGGTGCGCCGTCCATCATCGGTTCCACTACCTTATCCATTTATCGAGTCAATACTCTTTTTAATTCAACTTCGTGGTGTTATCATACTATGTATTCAATATTTGGTGTAACAGTAGGTAATTCAATTTATTGCAAGCTTTTCATCTTATGAGAACACAATTTGTGATATGGACCTTATAATAAATAGACTAGCATATAGGTTAATCTCGATCACAATGAAAGGCGCGTAAAAAAGATATTTAATGATATGTTAAGGACTTTAAGTACGAATGAGAGCCAAAAATAAAACAACACCAACTTGCTTACGGCACACCTATGGTATTTCCGAGAGTACCTATTGACCATTAACAAAGAATGCAAGAAGAGTAATTTGTGAGATAAGTTTTGTAGGCGAAGTTAATGCATGTAACTTAATCGCTAATGCGCTATTTTAGTCGTTGATCCTGACCACAAAGGGCCACTTGTAGATGGCAAACGGTCCTCTTTGCTTTCACCCTATGGTGAAATAGAAACATTAACGAAATTTCCAATTCAAGTAACTATACTCCGTCCAATCATTGATTTTACTTTTGACAGCTCGAATTCTAATCAATTAGTGGTGTCCTTATGCGTTTCCGATTTTTTATAACAATCGATTTTATTTATGAAGATGTTTTAATCGTGAGTGTGAGCGGAGATATAAAAAAGAATTATCTAATTGGTGTCCTGATGTTGCGTTTGACAATTTGTGTACTCAAGAATTAATAATTAATGTTACTGAGGATTCAAGTGATGATTCCCGTTCATGTGGAATTATTTATAATGTATTTCATTTCGTTATAATTTATTAGACAGGTATCAAAATTTGTCAACTTGAATAATCTTCGTTACATAAACTGTCGGCTTGATAAATATGAGCTAAGGAACGTCGCTTCACTATAGTAAAGAAAAAAAAAGCATCCATGTAATATTGTATTTTTTTGTTTATGGTTGCCTGTCAATAATTATGAAATTTCGTAGGCATGCTTATGTCAAAAGTAAAATAAATAGTCGGACGGAGAATACTATACATAATGATATCATTTTTTAAGCTTGCTTCAAGTTTCAGTAGATATCTCCTTAGATTACACATGGCTTCATATCTTCGTATATAAACGATATTTCATTTATTAAATTTATAATTATATTAACATCTGGAATTCAAAATTCAATTCAAAATTCGTTTATTGTTTTAAAAGTGGTACAATGGATGGAAAAGTTATATAATGTAATTTCACACTTTTAGTCATTTCTGACATACAATATAGAATTATGGTTTTTTAAATCATAATACAATACAATGTGGAAGAGTTGAAAATTTCCATGTTTTAGGAGCCTAACCTCTGTAAACACGGGAAATATGTGATTATAACAATACAACTGAGTTAATTTCTTAATATCTCAATTTCCTTTCGTAAAAGCAAATATCCGATTGTTTACTCTATTCAGTACTTTTTGTACCACTGCAGCATTACGTCCATTAAAATTATAGTGAGTGTTTGTTTTGACTCAGATGTAAACATCGCGAAAACATTTTGTTTGAGCAGGACAAGATATGGAGCAGTTATCTCGGCAGCAGGAGCATTATCTAACCTTATCTACGCTAATTGCAGAGTCGAGTATAAAAGGATGGTATTACAGAATTCAAAACAAATTCTAACGAACGAGCTCAAGTGAAACACGTATTAAAAAGTGTTTTAACTACGAACGAATTTTGAATTCGATGACAGTTTAAGTTAATCAAAATGAGGATTATATACTTACTTCTGTTGGTAAGTATTATAAAATTAAAATAATTGTAACTTTTTCATTAAAAAAACCGACTTTGCGAATCGGCTTTTTTCAATTTCCATGGGATTCCCTCATCAGATTCAGACTTATTGGTGACGGACTCCTTTGTACATTATGTATTTCCTCGTGTGCTTGTCATGGTGACGGTGATTTGTTGATTATCTACATCTATTGTGTCAAGTGAAAAGTCGACTTTTATTTGCGGAAAATAATTAGTAATTTTGTGATGGCCGAAACGAACAGGAACATCATCAGGGACCACCTCGAGAGTATACCATTTCAAACAAAAAAATAATTTTCAAAATCAGTGCACAATTGATGGAGGAATTGGTGAATACACGGACATGCCTATAAAATTTGAGGACTTCCTTCAATTTTCGTGGGATTCCCTCATCAGATTCTGATTTGGCGACAATGGGACCACCACGAGAGTGCACCCTTTCAAACAAAAAAGAATTTTCTAAATCGGTCCACAATTGACGGACATATCTACAGATATCTAACATACATAAAACATACATACAGCCGAACGTATAACCTCCTCCTTTTTTTGAGTCGGTTAAAAAGAATAAAGAATTAAGTTTAAATGTCTAAAATTTAGTGTCTTACTTAAAGTTATTGCTTTGTTCCAGGTGTGCTTCTGCGTGGTGAGTGCGAAATATCTTCCAGAAGAATTATTTTCTTCGCGATCACTGTTATGGCACCATCATTCTAATAAAGACGAATCGGCTATTACATCTGGCCATGACCACGATGACAACAACAATAGTGATGAAAGTAATGACAGTGAGAGTGATGATAATTCAGCGGAAAGAAAACATGCCGAACAACTGGCAAAATTAGAAAAAGAAAAACAAAAGCAGCAAGAGAAAAAAGAAAAAGAGGAACAAAAATGGTTACAAAAGTTTGAAAAGGAAAAGCGTAAGGCAGAAGAGAGGCTTCAAAAAGAACAGGAAAAAAGAGAAGAAAAGGAACGTAAACGTCAGGAAAAACAAGAGGAAGAACAGCGTAAGGAAGAAGAAAAGTTACAAAAGAAAAGAGAAAAAGAACAACGCAAATTTGAAGAGAAGAATCGCAAGCAAGAAGAAAAACGCATAAAAGAGGAACAAAAACGAGGAGAATATATTAAAAATCTGTTGAACAAACATGAAAAAGAAACTATAGAAGTTGAAAATGAATCTGTTGAAAACTCTGAAGACGACAATTCTACTGAAGTAGATAATATTTGGAAAGGTCATATATACGAAAAGTATGGTTTGACTCCGGCGAGTACTGAATTAGAAAAGAAAGCTGCTATACAAAGATATTTACAAGAAGAATTAGGCGTCAAAATCAACAGCACGAAAAGTGAGCGGCGTAAAGCAATCTTAAATTTCATACAAACTAAATTACAAAACAGTGCTTCACAAGATGGTTTTAGAAATCATTTGGTCAGTCATGTGAATGCTGTTGGCATACAAAAATTGCAAGCAGATCTAGAAAGGAAGATAGAAAAGCTAGACAATAAGACAGCATTAATTGCGAATATTCCAGGGGCTACGCTAGCGCAAGAAAATCTTCAAGAGAAGAGAACGTTGCTTCAAGCATTTTTATCCTACCTATCAAATGTTTTCCCTACTTGGATAACTGGCGGACATTCTTCGACCATCGTGCCTACCAACCAAACTGGCTCATCGCTTATTGGCTCTTTGAGTGACAGTTCTATTAGTTCAGGGGTTTCTCATCCAACGACATCAGGTGTTGCTGGTTCATCTGCACCTAACGATAACGCTGCTGGTTCTGCGGGATCTGTTGGTGTTGCTGGCAGTGGTAACAGTGCTAACGCAAACGCCGCTGGCGCCAACGTCAATGCCGGCAGTACCACAGGATCAACTTCAGCCAATAACGCCGGTACAACTGGTTCTACTATTGACACGAATGCTGCTGGTTCCGCCGTCATTGCTCCTGGGTCTGCGGGTACTACCGGATCCGCTGCTGACGTGAATGCTGCTAGTGCCGTAATCAATTCTGCCAGTACTACTGGAGCTGCTGCTAGCGCAAACGCCGTTGGACCCAGCGTGAATGCTGTCGGCTCTGCCGGGTCTGCTGCTGATGCAAACGTCAGTGCCAGTAGCACTATTGGATCATCTACTGACGCTGTTAATGCTGGTAATTCGGGATCTGCCGGTGCTGGCGTCTCTGTTACTGGCGCTGCAAGTTCTACAGGTGCGGACGCTAGTACTGTTGGTATAACTGGAGCAGCTGCTGACACGGTTATTGCTGGTGCCGAAGCCAATACTGCTGGTCCTTCTGGAACGACTGCTGATGCAAATGCTGGTGGAACCAACGCAAACACAGCCGGCAATACTGGATTTGTTGCTGATTCGAATGCCAGTGCCAGTAGCACTATCGGGTCAGTTAATGACGCCAATACTGGTAGTTATTCCGGATCTATAGCTGACACGAATGCTCTTGGTACCGACGCCACTGCTCCTGGTGCCGATGCCACAGCTACTGGTACTGCAGGTTCTACAGGTGTAGATGCTAATATTGCTGGAACTACTGGATCTATTGCTAATGTTGGTGGTGCCGACACACTTGCTGTCGATACTACCGGATCTAATGCTGATACAAATGCCGGTACCGGTAGCACTATTGGATCTGCTTCTAACGCTAATACTGTTGGTACTACCGGATCTATTGCTGACACGAATGCTGTTGGTGCCGATGCCAATGCAGCCACTACTACTGGAGCTGAAGCTGATGCAAGCGCTGCTGGAGCCAACACGAATGCAGTCGGCGCTACCGAGTCTGCTGCTGGTGTAAACGCCGGTACTGGTAGCTCTACAGGATCATCTACCGCCACTGCTACTGCTGGTGCTTCCGAATCTGCTGCTGGTGCTGGCGTTACTGACACTGCAGGTTCTGTGGGTGCGGACGTTAATGTTGCTGGTACAACTGGATCTACTACTGATGCTGCTGGTGCCGACTCTACTGCTGTTGGTATTACTGGAGCTGCTGTTGACACAAATGCTGCTGGTGTCGAAGCCAATGCTGCCAGTACCACTGGAGCTGTTGCTGACGCAAGCGCTGCTGGAGCCAACACGAATGCAATCGGCACTATCGGGTCTGCTACTGATGCGAACGCTGGCACTGGTAGCATTACTGGATCGTCTACCGACGCCGTTACCGCTGGTACCTCCGAATCTGTTGCTGACACAAATGCTTTTGGTCCTGACGCCACTGCTACTGGCACTCCAAATTTCGCGGGTGCAGACGCTAATATTGCTGGAACTACCGGATCTACTGCCAGTGCTGTTGATACTAACGGATCTGCTGCTGGCGGAAACGCGGCTGGCAGCGAATCCAATGCTGCCGGTAATACTGGATCAACAGCTGACGCAAATGCTGTTGGCGCTGACGTGAATGTTGTCGGTACTACCAATTCTGCTGCTGGTACGAACGCGAGTGATGGAATCACTGTCGGATCAGCAACTGGCGCTAATACTGCTGGTGCAGCCGGATCCACCGCTGAAACGAATGCTGCTGGTGCCGAAGCCAATGCTGTCAGTACCACTGGAACTGCTACTGACGCAAACGCTTCTGGTGCTGACGCCACTGCTACAGGCACTGCAGGTTCTGCTGCTGCGGATGCTAATACTGCTGGGACTACTGGAACTACTGCTAATGCTGCTAGTGCTGTTGGTACTACCGGGTCTGCTTCCGACGCAAACGCTGCTGGAAGCGAATCCAATGCCGGCGGTAGCCTTGGGTCTGCTACTGACCCTAATACAGCTGGTGCTGATGCAAATGTTGTCGGTACTACCGGATCTGCTGCTGATGCGAATGTTGCTGGTGTTGACGCCACTGCTACTGGATCTGCAGATTCTACGGGTGTGGATGCTAACATTGCCGGTACAACCGGGTCTGCTACTGACTCAAACACAATTGGTGTTGAACCGAATACTGCGGGTACTACTGGATCAGTTTCAAACTCTAATACTGTTGATGTCAACATCATTGCTGGTAGCACAAATGGATCAGTTACCGACGCTGTTACTGCAGGTAATTCTGGATCTGCTTCACCTACGAATACTCCTGGTGCCGACGCTACTTCTACTAGTAGTACCGGTGCTGCGGGTGCAGACGCCAATATTGCTAGTAATAGTGGATCTACTGCTGATGCTACTGGTGCTGATGCCAATGCTGTCGGTACTATTGGATCTGCTGCTGGCACAGACGCTGCTGGAGCAAACGCGAATGTTGTCGGTACCGCATCTACTGCTGATGCAAACATCAGTGCTGGTAACACTATCGAATCAACTACCGATACCAATATAGCTGGTACTACCGGATCGGTTGTTAACACGGATGCTTCTGGAGCTGATGCCACTGCTACTACCACTGTAGGATCTGCGAATGTGGATTCAAGTGTTGCTGGTACTATCGGATCTAGTGCTGATGCAAATGCAGTTGTTGCCGAATCCAATGCTGCCGGTGCTACTGGATCTTCTGCTGATTCTAATACTGTTGATGCTAACGTCAATGCTGGTAGCACTGCAGGGTCGCTTACGGACGCTAATACTGCTGGTACTTCTGGACCTGCTGCAGACACGAATGCTGCTGGTACGGAAGGGAATACTGCCGGTACTACTGGATCTGCTGGCACAGAAGCTTCTGGAGCTAACGCGAATGCTATCGGTACTGGATCCACTGTTGATGCAAACGCCAGTGTTGGCAGCACTATCGGATCAGCTACCGACGCTCATACTGCTGGTACAGGCATCTCCGCCACTGAAACGCAAGCTGCTGGTACGGAAGCCAATGCTGCTGATACTATTGGATCTGCTACTGGCACAAACGCTGCTGGAACTGACGCGAGTGCTGTTGGTACCGGATCTACTGCCAACGCAAACGCCGGTGCTGGGAGCACTATCGGATCAGCTACTGATGCTAATACTTCTGGATCTGCTGTCAACACGAATGCTCCTGGTGCTGACGCCACTGCTACTGGCACTGCAGGTTCTGCGAATGCGGACGCTAGTGTTGCTGGTACTACCGGATCTACTGCTGATGCAGTTGGTGTCGACGTTGGTCCTGTTGGTACTACTGGAGCTGCTGCTGACACAAATGCAGTTGTTGCCGAATCCAATGCTGCCGGTGCTACTGGATCTGCTATTGACTCTAATACTGTTGATGCTAACGTCAATACTAATAGCGCCACCGGGTCAGCCACTGACGTTAATGCTGCTGGTACTTCTGGACTTGCTGCAGACACGAATGCTGCTGGTACCGAAGGGAATACTGCCGATACTATTGGCTCTGCTGCTGGCACAGATGCTTCTGACGCTAACGCGATTGTTATCAGTACCGGATCTACTATTGATGCAAACGCCAGTGCTGCTGGTACAGGCGTATCCGCCGCTGAAACGAATGTTGCTGGCACTGAAGCCAATGCCGCCGGTACTGTTGGATCTGCTACAGGCACAGACACCGCTGGAGCTGACGCGAGTGCTGTCGGTACTGGGTCTACGGTTGATGCAAACTCCAGTGCTGGCAGCACTATGGGATCAGCTACAGATGCTAATACTGCTGGTACAGGCGTATCCGCTACTGAAACGCAAGCTGCTGGCACGGAAGCCAATGCTGCTGATGCTATTGGATCTGCTACTGGTACAAACGCTACTGGAACTGATGCAAGTGCTGTTGGTACCGTATCTATTGCTAACGCAAACGACAGTGCTGGAAGCACTATCGGATCAGCTACCGATGTTAGTACTTCTGGTACTTCTGGATCGGCTGTCAACACGAATGCTCCTGGTGCTGACACCACTGCTACTGGTACTGCAGATTTTGCGAATGCGGACGCAAGTGTTGCAGGTACTACCGGATCTACTGCTGATGAAGTTGGTGCCGACGCCAGTACTGTTGGTACTACCACATCTGCAGCTGACGCAAGTGCAGTTGTTGCCGAATCCAATGCTCCCGGTACTTCTGTATCTGCTGCTGACTCTAATATTGTAGATGCCAACGTCAATGCTGTCAGCACTATCGGATCAGCTACTGATACTAATATCGCTGGTGCTTCTGAATCTGCTGTCAACACGAATGCTGCAGGTGCCGAAGCCAATGCAGCCGGTATTACTGGATCTACTACTGGCACAGATGCTGTTGGACCCGATGCTAATCCAAATACCACTGCTGATATCACTATCGGATCAGCTACCGAAGTTAATGTTGTTGGCACTTCCGGAACCGCTGCTGACGCAAACGCTGCTGGAACCAACACAAATGCCGTCGATACTACCGGATCTGCAGTTGCTGACGCAAACTCCGGTTCCGATGGTACTACTGCTGGCATTACTGGTCCTGCGAGTGTTGATTCTAATGTTGTTGGTACTACCGGACACACAGCTGACGCAAATGTTGCAGGTGCCGATGCTAATGTTGTCAATTCTGGATCTGCTGCAGACTCCAATGTCGTTGGCACAATCGACTCGACTGCTAATGTTGACGCTGCTGGTACCACCGGATCTGTTGCTGACGCCAAACCTGTTGGTGGCGATGCTAACATTGCAGGCACTACTACAGGATCTGCAGTTGATACGAATGCTAGTGCTGGTAGCCTTACAGGATTGGCTACTGACGTTAACGCTGTTGTTGATAGTTCTGTATCCACAGTGGACACGAATACAGCTGGTGCCAATGCCACTGCTTCTGGCATTGCTTTACCTGCCGACACCGATGCCAACAATATCGGTATCACGGACTCTGCTGTCGCAAAAACTGTTTCACCTGTTGCAGCTGAATCTGCGCCAGTTGGTGCAGAAGCTACCCCAGTTGTTCAGGAAACAGCAGCTTCTGAAATTATTGCAGAGGGATCACAGCCTGTTGTTGTCGTTACAAACGTTGACAATATGTACTATGTTCCGAATCTAAACGCTGTAGCACCTGAAGTAGTCACAAACGCTGTAGTTGATGACGTGCAGGCCACTACCACCACTATGCCCGTGGATGCTGTGCCAGTACCTGTTGAGATCGGTGCATCTGTACTCGAAATCGCAACCCAGTGAACATAATGTTTTAACACCGTGAATTTGTTACTAAATTTAAAAAAACTATGTAGATAAACTGTTTTCGAATACAAAAAAATAGCAATATGAATAGTCGTAGTTTCATTTTATATTAATTTTCTAATTTATGCATACTAAGTATGATGATCATCATAACATAGGAAAAACGTTGAGAATACATATAAATAATAGAACTGTAAATAATAAATTTAATAACTATATTTAATGACTTTTCTTAAATTATTTTTTACAAATGTTTGGTAAATATTTCATAGACTTAATTATCTAACGGAATGCACTAAAGAGGTATTATCTCACAAAATGGACTTCCATTGCATTTAAACCATTTATTAAAATATAATTTATATAATACAATAATATAAACAAGTTAATTCTCCTACAGTGAATCTATTACCTAAGTAACTTTATCAAATCCAGTACTTGTTTGTTGGGTTCGGTGGATTGGGATAACTATGTTGGGTTAAAGGATCAGGTATATTTGGAAACGCATACGGATCATTTATGTACTTGTATTCGCCAGATAATCCCGACAAGCTCATATTTAACGTATTATGAGAAGGACTCCAGTTGGAAGTTGAGCCTGGATCTGCGGCTACTTTTGAATAATCAGTAGGAACTTTCGGGTATTCACTATTTGGTAATGTTTTGTTGTAATCTTCAGTAGGCACTTTGAAAGAATCGTCTCTAGGTTCTATAGCATCTTCTGTGGCTACTTTATCTTCTCCCTCTGATTCTTTGGGCATATAGTTGATAGGCTTATTGTAAACATCGTTACTGGTGTAGCGAGGATAGTCGTTTCTTGGTACTGTGGTATCTAAAATTTGACTATGCGATGGTCCGTTACTTCCGGATACTAAATGTCCGAATGTTGATCCAGATGTGCTCGGGAAGGCAGCACTTTGGAAAGCTTGATTCAGATGCTGTGACTGTGCCATAAGGTGATTATAGTTGGCATATTTCTGATGATGCCAGGAGTCTGGATGTTGAGGGTGGTGTTGAGATAGAGGGGGTATTTCACCAGCCGGGTAGGGGCAGGGTATCTGAGGCATTGGTAACGTGGAGTAGCTGGCAAGACTTGGCGCTGGATTCGAGCCCGTGTGCTTCCGTAGACGTGCTCTTCGGTTTGAGAACCACACCTGAAAGACAACAAATAAATAAATACATGCTGTTATTAATATCTATTCGTTTTTAATCAAATGAATGCGCATAACCCGTACTTATTGCAATTCTTATCCATGATAACGTACGTCTTCTAAAAATATATTGTTTAAGATCAAGGACAAGGTACTCGTATAATCGAATCAATGATTTTCTGTCTATTGACTTGAATCCATAAGGTACATCTAAAAAAGAAGTAAAGACGGCAGCATATCAAGCTACATTGACGGATCTTTTTCCGCTGCACTGGAGGCGATATTCGAATAAAAGTGTATAGCTTGATGTGTTGTCGACTGTTGACTATTCGAATGAGGTATATTGAGCAGAGATGAGCGCTGATCGTAAAAGCGTCGGCGACGGCGTCTGACTGTTTTTTGACCGGCGGGGCGGCGGCTCGGCGGCGTGATCGGCGTGAAATTGGCGTGGCATATATATTTCAGGTGTTTAGACAAACACTAAAACTTTGTTTAAATCAATCATTCTATTAATTACAACTTGTACTTTAGCGGTATGTAGGTACTGTTTATTAATAATAATCACCTTAAAGAATGTTTGTAAAAATAGAAATTTTTACAAACATTATTTCTGATCAGTATTAATTAAAATGTTTTAATTCATTCTAATTACAATTATTAATGAATAATAAAATTTAATTGAATAAAAAAATATATTGTTAAAACAAAATAATTAGTAAAACATTATGTAGAGTAAATTAGAAGTTTTCTTGGAAAATTTAATAATAAATCTGCTTGATAAAAATATGATCTGCTTTTAATTCATAAAATATAACTTGAAAATAAACGCTCAATTTAAATGTAGTATGAATACGATGTATGCAGACGTTCTGTAATTCATTTGCATTGTATGGAAATGTTATATTGTAATATAATAAATAATTAAGAAAGAAAGTGTTAATTTATTAAAATAAACCAAATTTTCGCAACATCGATTTTACGCCAGTCAAGTTTATGCGTCAGCGCAGATAAGCGTCGGCAGCGCCGGCGGCGCGGTGCACATATCTACAATTGAGTATCTATAATTGAGTATACCTGTATTCTGGCTTCAGTCAGTCCTGTTTGCAGAGCGAGTTCTTCTCTGGTGTACACATCCGGGTACTGGGTTCTGTGAAAAGCCCGCTCTAGTGCGTCTAATTGTTCTCCGGTGAATGTAGTACGGGAGCGTCTCTGCTTTCTCTTCAACGTAAGTCCTGGTTCGGAGTCGATATCAGATGAGTCTGATCCCCTACCTGTACAGAAAATTTCTATGATAATCCTCCTAAACATTTGAACAACAAGATTGTTATTTAACAATCTTGTTGCTACATACTTTTTTATTTCAATAACTTTGTGGTGGTTGCGGTTTAAGGAAGCTAACAATTGTAATTTTGCACCGGACATAGGTCCGGTGCATAATGTACGAGTAATAATAAAATTTGATATCTCGATGCGAGATTATAATTTATTTGACGTGATACCGTTGCAATTTGTCTTCATCGTATTTTCTGGGACACGCGTTATTTATTAACAAAGTGTTTTTTGTGAAAACCCACATCACGTATTAATTCGGCTAAATCGTGAACCGCCAGCCTCGCGGGTCGACCGATCTCATTTATAAATCGGTAGCGGTATCCTACGGAAACAGATTAAAAACACCCTCAACAATGCACAGCTTTGCTCTTAAAAATGCGGCTTATATTAATAGTCTTTTGAAAGAAGTCAAAATCGAAAGAAATGAAAAAATAGGGGCTCAGTATAGTGAAGAATAAGGAACACCCAGTGCGGCGGTGCTTTTGTCGGTCTCTTTGCACTTCGGGTGACATTTTGGCACCATTCAATATTTGATGTGCTGGATTTATGAGGTGTACAGTGCAAACCTGAATTAACAAAATTCAATTCTATTGCAATTTTACGCAAGGTGCATTCTAATAGAAAATGCGGACATTACTAATTATATTCAACTTTATTATTTTTTTACTGTGTTTTCCAATATTAGTTATCGTTAGTGATGTAATCTTAATCAGCTTAATCAACTTTCATATATAGATTTTCTCATTGCGAAATATACAAAACTTTTAAGCTTTTAACATTGGGCACCCAGTATATACACCAGTATATCGTGTTGCAAATTTCATATCAAACTTAATTAAAAATGCACGCGACGGAAATAAACTATAGGTGCATAGGAAGAGACATTGTACTGCGCGAGAGAACATAATATCTAACTACAAAGGTTGCGACACCAAATAAAAAACGTGCATTGTAATAAAATGATTTACATTGCTCAAATTCCCTGGCCCGAGACAGGGACAGATTTATTTAGCCTTTTTTGTTCCGAGTCCTGATCATAACGTATGAGACTAAATGACTTAAATATATCGAAAATACAAAGAGAAAAGGCATTCAAAGCTTTAAAAATCTCGTCGTAAAGTTCACTTTCATTGTTGTCGTTGAGTTTAAAAGTGTTAAAGAAAAACTATAAGGGATTTTTTATCCGAAGAAAGGTGAAGGAATTATACGCGGAGTGCATGTAGAAGGGAGCAAGAGAAACTTTGGCGATTGCCGAAATGTGACCCCGTGAAGACCGCGGCGCGGCTCAAAAGTCATAATTTGGAAGTTGAAAGAGCAGCGACGGCGGTTTAACACCTTCATAATCTGGGTTCATTAAAACGAGCGGGCTGGCCTTTGTTTCAGCGGGTTGTTCAGATTTTAACAGATGGCCGGATTAGCACGTCTGCGCTCCAATATGGGGGCGTACTAAAACTGCCGGTTTTATTTGAGTTGAATTTATTCTTTATTTTATTGAATAATGTTCTCTAAGTTCTGCAGTTTAAGTACATTGAAGTAGGAATAAATAAAACAACTCTTACATTTAAGATGGATGGCAATACCTTCGTACTAGAGTAGATCTAAAAGAGTTGATACTTTAGAAATAAAACGATCGAATTCTAGTGATTTGTAACTATCAACATTTATACCTCCTTAATAATTTGTTGATTCGGTGACTTGGATTGTTTATAAAAGGGGACTTTTTTAAAAATCATTTCGAGTACTTTTTTACATGAGATTTGTGGTGACACTATTTTCAATAAAAGAAAAACTCCTGAAACTTGTTAGAAAGTAAATAAAATAATCGTTAGACACAAAGAAAATGTGCTGAGATATTTAATTGAGGCTCATTCAAATGTCACTCGGAGTCTTTTGACGGAGGCGTTCGGCCACTTCCGGAGATTGTCGGGCTTTCTGGGAGGCCCTCGTTGAATAATGTGATGTGATGAGACAAAATTGTGTTGAATACGAAGCGAGATAATAAATGCCCTCTAAATAGTTGTGACGCTTTGCGTGTCAGCCGCGTTAGTCAAGCCTTACATGGACCCACATTTCTCAGAGAAAGTACAGCACGCTTTAGTTTCGGGTATTTTGATTAAAATTGCAAATTGTTTTAGTTGTATCTATTATTTGGAGTTGTAGATAATTGTTTTACTGCTATGTTTGTTGTTTGATTTCCTTTTATACTTATTGATTAGGATCCTACTTGGACCTACACGTTGCATAATGCATACTCGTTTAAAGCTCTCTGAAAAATATAAAGTTTATAAATTTTGTGTTTACCATACAGTGACATACTCACGACCTACCTATATAATACAATTTTTGTAGATTTCCGTTCAATTTTACCAGAAAACTTGATTACCGTCGTAATTAGGAAGATTCAACAGACAGACTTCCCAGGTGTCTTAAATATTAAAGTCGTACAAATATAACTTAAATCTTACAGCTGTCACGTAGAGCGATTGCGGCAAGCGTCGTCGTCGTGGAGGTTCGTAATCGCCCGCGCGTCAAGCCACGACATTAGTTGATTCTAACGACACATGTTATTAAACAAATGCGAGATTTTATCGCACACTCTTTTGTTTTGCTATGAAATCACTGTGAAAGTCGAATGCGTATCTGATGGCGTATGTAAGCTCCCGACATTGTGTAAAGTTTCCATTTGGTTAATGTTTGTATGTGGTCGTATATTTTATACGTCGCTTCGTCACAATAGGTTGTTATTTGTGTCAACGAATTTATGAAATATCTTTAATAGATGTTGGGGACGGTGTTGTTTATAGAAAATAGGGGTTACCATTTCAGCACTATTAAATAAAAGCCTTTGTATTTTCAAGGCAAAGCAATATCAGCGAAATCAATTTAATCTTGCTAATATTTTCCTCTTTGAATGCAATAGCTGTCACTCTGCCGTCTCAAGTAAAAGACAATCGTGTAAAAAAACTCACTGTAAAAAGAATTGGCGGCGCGTCAAGGGAAATCCCGACAGCAACAAGTACCTACCGGCGTAACTCAAAGCGACGATTAACATTGCACCAAAATAGACTGATAAAGCAACAATAGGTGAATAACCAAAACATTTTAGGTGAATTGTCGCGTTTTCAGCACTATCGAGGGGCACTACGGGCGAGCGCGGTGATCTTTGTCGGCGGCGTTTGGCCGCGCCCGCAAAACGCGCCGCCCTTTGACGTCTCGAGAATAAACTTCAATATTTCAAATGGCAACAATGACTGAGTAAGATTTGTGTGCGGAAATTGATTTTTTGAATGCTCCCCGTGAGAAAGCTTTGACAGGTAGGAACTATTAACTTGCAAAATGATTGCATGAATGGCATGGGAAGTTATTGTGCAATATTTTGGTTCATGTGGGGAGATAGTAGCGTGTTTGAACACGGAAATATACCACTCCTTTGCGGCTATTAGGCTTTGAGGCACGGCGCAATGTGGAAAGAATTTTGGTAGGTGTAAAGTGTGTATGTCTCGGAATTCGTTTCTTAATATTATTTTACTTCACGACTAAAGCAAGACTATAAGTATTTCTAAGCGAACGAGCGTTTGCTAAACTACATAACTTATTCCAAGTAAACCCATAACGTTTCTTGAAGCCTTTACAAAATTATCACTTGGAACGCTCTTGTCCAGATTCTGTAGAAGTCCTTCTCTTGATGGGAACATTAACGAAGAACTACTTGAGATTCGTGATAAGGCACGCAAATGATAATTAACAGGCTCGTTACGTAGGTTTTTACTTTAGGTAGTACGGTTTTGAAGGCATGTCTGTGTGAACATTGTAATAGAAAAAAGCAGGAGTTTTACGCAACGTATACGAACATTACGTAAGATACCTATGTATATTCTCAAAATAAAAACAAATCTTTTATGCACTTCCAGTTCTTAGGTTTTGGCGAATGTTACACATAGGAAATGCAATTTTTTTCCCAAACGGAATCGTATAAGTATATTTGATTTTAACCGACTTTAAAAAAGGAGGAGGTTCTCAATTCGAGTGTCTCCTTGTGTGTGTAGGTATGTTACTCGATTTCTCTCTCGATTCGATGATTATTTTTTCGTCGGTGCCCTCACTTAGGTATCCACTGTTTCTATAGCACTTAGTATAAATAGTGGATACCTAAATGAGGGCACCAAGCCTACCTCAGTCGGGGTCGCATTCAAATTTGAAAACAATGCTCCACCTCTAAGGATGACAAAATAATATATTTTCATCCAATCTCCTTTAACTGATTTCTATAAAACTTGACGAATAGATGTAATTCCACAAACTTCTCAGGTCAATTCTTTTTTATCATAAAGTTATGACTATTTTAAAACATGGATACCGTTGCAAGGACATAAAGGTATCACTTTTGTGTTCCATTTTTAACAGTTATAAAACTGAAATCAAAACGACATTGCCAAGATATAATTTACAATGATCTATATACATTACACTTAACCACATGTCGTTATTTGAACAGTCATTTATTGAAACTGCGAATTTAAAAGTTATGTACAACAGTGGGTGTGGGTTTTGTTAAGAAATAGCTAAGTATTAATGAATTAGCGTTTAAAAACTCACCTCCAAGAATGCCATCAATGCTATAATCTTTCTTTCCATCTGGGTCTCTCGAGCCCCCGCGCAGTAGTCGCGAAATGGAAGAAATGCTGGGTGGGTCCGACACGCCCTCCTGGAACGATACACGATTGTCTCTCACAGCCTCATTAAAAAAAAAACTAAAACAACACTCGCGCCTTTTTGTAGCTCTTGCTTAAATTATCTGGCTGATTGGAGACCGCCTACGGTTTTGGCGACTGTAAAAACTATCGTTCTAATTTTAAAACACTGGCTGCTTTCGTAATTCGATTTGCTATTGGTGTTAAAAATAATTACGCTTTTTGTGTTTCAGATTGCTTAAAACAATGAAAGCAATATGTTTCTGAACTTATTTGAATAAAGAATTATTTAAAGATCATAAAAGATATTATTAATATTAGATAGTTTTTTTATACCAAGTGACGGGACAAACAAGTCGCGCGCTTGATGGTAAGCGACACGCCTGGCCGTGACAGTTGAAGTGCCGCTCAAAACTTTAAATTGCAAAGATCTGAGGGGCACTGCCACTGCGCCTATCGCCCTGAGACATAAGTAGAAAAGTCCCATTTGCCTGTAATTTCACCAGTACCCCTACCCTTCAAAACCGGAACACAGTAATGCTCACATTACTGCTTGGCGGCAGAAATAGGTAAGGTGGCAGTACTTCCCTGGACGTACTCTGGCACAAAGAACTTTACTATATACTCGATGGCTCTATTACTACTAAAATACAATAAATGTCAGAAGTGATAATCAGATTTATATACATCCACACCAGTTAATTAGTACACCCGGGATTGCTTCAAAAAAGAAATAGGTAAGCACAATTAGCTCTACTGCTACTACAAAATATGACTTCGCGTTTTTTACATAGTATCTAAGTGAAAAGACTAAACAAAAATGGCTTCTCCTCTTTTCGAGTCAATTTACGGCTTAAATGTTTATGCAAACACTTAAATTGAATCCACAAAAGCTAGACGGGCGGCGCGGCGGTACGCTGCTCCGAAATGGATATTTCACAATACTAAGTGGTTTTTTTTAGCAAATAAATTGACGTTATTTAATTTTCTTAATTCATTTAAGGCCTCGTTTGGTATATAATGTCCTCACAGTTCAACTATTTGTGTTTAGAAATTGAGTTGGGCATAAAACTAAATGGAAAAAAAGATATAAAGAGACATTTTATATTTTGATATGACCATATTATGAATATATGTTGTTTCTAAAAACAACTGCTATAATTATGCACAGGTTGAATGTTATAATTAAAACATAGATGTATTTTACAATTTATTTTGTTAATTTTTATTTGGCAAATACGTTTATTAAATTCATATCGCCTTAATCACAGTTAATAATTAAATATAAAGTGTAATAATTCGTTTTTAAGTATCTGCTGACTGGGTCAAGTACCATACTAAATTTTATTATAAGGCATTTTTAATGTATACGTGCAATATGGAAATAAATAAATAAATATTAAGTTTATAAGTTTATCCTGCAACCCGGAGGATGCCTGGAAAAAATAGCTAAATAGCAATAAGATCACCTGTAGTACCTGTCTTTTTTTATGTATTTGTTCTTGCGTGCCATAACGATTATTTGTACTGTACTGTATTTTTTTTATTATCCCTTGCTATTAAAAAAATGTTATGCAGCTAAGACATAAAAAATTTGGAATTGTACTTTAATGTAAATACCCAACAATCTTCCGTGGTATAATGCAAAGAAAGGAAAATTGTTATTTGGCTTTAATCAAGACGCAGTTGGTAGTTCGTGACAAACAGGACATTTGACGGACTAAGGTATTTTGTTGGCGGTAGAGTTTTATAAGTATTTTGAGAATTTTTCTGACGAGAAGAAAATAATAATGAATGAAAACGAGACAAAATTGGATTAAGTGAAAATCACTATTGACTTTATAGGGGAGAGTCGCATTTTGATTTAGTTTTAGTTATGATACCGACTGTCCGCGACACGCCTGTCCTTAACAATTACAGTGCCATTTAGAGCTGTAAATCACAACAATCTCAGGGAAACTGCCACTGTGCCCATCACCCTGAGACATAAATTGACAAGTCCCACGTGTCTGTTGTTTCACCAGCGCTCTTAAGTCATCTGATTAAGGCATCCGATGCGTATTCGTTCCGAAGCCGAGACTATACAAATGTAGAAAACTCGGATCCATTTCGGATGTCGCTTGTACACTTACACATACACACGCTTGTACACTTGTCCGAGGAAATACGAATATCGTTTGTACATAAATTACTATATATATATATATACTAGAGATAAATTGATTCCTGTGACATTGCGGACCGTCATTTCCTGGATTCCTAACAGATACAAATCGGACGTAGTGTGCAAAGGCTCTTATCTTTCAAAACCTGAACGCAGTAATGCCCAAATTACTGCTTGGCTGTAGAATTAGGTAACATGGCCTATCCTGGACGAACTCTTTCGCAAGGAGTTCTACTGCTACGAAATATGTTCTAGTAATACTGACACGAGACAGGAATTATGTGTATGAGGTGACAGTGTTTAGCTGCATCTATAACAGTGACAACAAATATTCGTTGATGTTATTAAATGTTGAGACGGCGATAGGATCCTTAATTAAAACGATCTTTATGTTTATTACAAGTGTTGAAAGTGGTTTATGTTATTTAGCGAATAGTGGAGATATTCTCCTGAGATTTCAACATTTTTGCTTTAGAATTGGTTTTTTGAGACTTTGAACAAGCAGAAACAGAAAATGTTTTAAATAAAAGTCTGAGCAAAAATGCTGTTACCTTGATTAGCTTTTCACGTATCTCCCAAGAGAATATGCCCGGATTCTGCCGCTTCAGCTCTTCTATCCTCGCCTCCACCTCGGGAGTCGCCACCCTCGGTTTGGAGCCGCCGATCACGCCAGGTCTTATGGACCCCGTCTCCTGGACAGTAAATAGTTTTGTCAAATTTATATTTGTGGTGTTCACAATTATAAGACCTATTATTGATGAAATAGCAAAACGTGTAAGGGATCCTATACCTTGGCATGAGGTGTAATGTAGCACAACTTTAACAAAAACAAATAAAATTATCGTTAAACAAAATGAGAAATTGAGATTTTTTTGTAAAATACATCCACTAGTTTTGTTGTGATTAGAAATACAAAGGTCGAACACACAGAAAAAAATATCCGACCCGATGGGACTTGAATCCATGAAAACGCTGCACCGTAGCACTGCTCTAACCAACTAAGCTACAGGTCAAGTTATCGAGTTGTCGAAATTCACTTATGTGTTTTTGTTAAAGATCTTTGTACAGAATTTTTCCAGCATTCTGTGCCGTTAGTGACATCTAGTGAGAGATTTTAGAACCTTCTTCATCGCATGGTTGTCATTAGTGTAATATTGATATTTATTGATTAATATGATTGTTCAGTTGTTATATGTGGTACACGAAAGGAGTCTCTTCGCACGAAGTACCATTCCTTTTATGGTGCCTGGCGCACCCTGTGCAACAATCAGTGAGTATGTTGCGTCGATTGGCAAATCCTTACACCACGATGATAAGCACTATAGTTATGCCTTCGATTGGATAAGAAGAAATTGTTATATAAAAAATCAGTAACTAGATACAAAGGTCCGGCGTCCGATCTAGAATAACTTGTGGTTTACGGAATATAACGGAATTAAACATATCTGATTTTAGAGATTTCAATTTATGAAATTATCTTTAGAATCATTTCGTTTTTTCGAAAACCCGATATCAATAAACAGCTGTGTCCTACAATACTGCCTATAAACAAGTAGTGGTAGAGGCCGGACCGAAGCGTAGCTAAACGTTTCCTGGCGAACAATCACCATTGTGGCCGCATTGTAGATTGTGGAGGGCTGGTGAAAACGGACCTTCAGGCTTCAATGAGCAGGGTATGAATGGCGGATCCAGAATGAAGAGTGGGGCAAACAAGGTCCTTGCTTTCAAAATTAGAATCGAAAAGTGCAGCAAGAAACTGTATGACTTATTAAGACTAATGTACAGTTTATAGCGAATTTTGTGCATCTTTTATTATGGAGAGAATAAAGCGACATCACCAGCAATTAAAAATACGCTAACTTAAAAATTGGAACAAACTTTGCAAACTTTTCTCCAGAAACTTAACTTTGTTAATCTTCAAACATATATAAATGATTTTTTTCCTTCAAGTTATTCATCATAAATTATAAAATATGTTTATAACTTTTTGTATCACTGTCTTAATATTGAATTAAATTTAAATTAGCTGCATAATTTGGCATTAAAAACGCAAGTACGACCAAAGTCGCGTTGTGTTAATTGGTTTGAAAAGAGACTAATGAATTCTTCGGTGTTATTAAACAGTGTGACAGTTCCAACAGCCTCATGCGCTTGGTCTAGGAGTATCAGATCTGTGATACATTTAAGCACTGGAACTTCACACACATGGCTTCCAGAGGTTTAGTGTATAATAATAATAAATATAAAATAAAAATAATAAATATATAAATAATTTTTATTTTTTTCTCGTAACTTTTTTACTAAGGTATGTTTTCTGTAACTAACATGACGTGGACAATGTCTGAAATATTTTTTTTATTTGATTTGATTAAACGGAATGGTAACTAAAAATGCAAGAGTGTCATGATTACTATAAATTATTGCAAAATAGGCATTTCGACGTCTAATTGAGGACTCTAGTCCGTTACACCGTACTATAGTATTGTAGATATTAATTTTGTGCAATAATGTTTTGTAGCAACATTACAGTAGAAATAGTTTGCCTATTTAAAGTCTCACTGTTGGACACAGGTCTCCACCCACAATGCCTCCTATAACTGCCTCCGTGGCCGAACAGTTACCGCGCCGGACACAGGGTTTCCTTAGTGAAGGGCTATGTTGAGTGTGTGCGTTATTAAAAAAAAAAACAAAAAAAAAATTAAAAAATGAGAGGGCTTGGGCTGTGTAGTTCCCACACGAGCCCAGTGCGAATTGGGAACCTCACACACATTGCTTTGCAGAAGTATGCAAGTGTTATCACGCCGTTTTCCTTCAACGAAAAGCTCATGGTAAATTTCAAATTGAATTTCGCACATAAATTTCTAAACTCAGATATACAAGTCCGGATTCGCACCCGCGACCGTCTGCTTGAGAGGCGGTTGGTCAAACCATTAGACTACCACGGCTTTATTGCAGTAATAATGATTTGGTACACGCTATGATCTTTTTTTATAATGTCAAGTGACGGGACGAACAAGTCGTGCGACTGATGGTAAGCTACACGCCTGTCCATAACACTTGCAGTGCCACTCAGAGCTTGAAATCGCAAAGATCTGAGAGACACTGCCACTGCGCCTGTCACCCTCAGACATAAGTTGGCAAGTCCCATGTGCCTGTAAGTTCACCATATATATATTTTTTAAACTATGTAATCTATTTATTAAAAAATATATATAAATATGATTGAATATCCTTTGAATAAAAGTGTTCTTGTAAGTTTCACATATCCACCGACAATACTTTCTTAAATAAAATTTCTGAATACATTTTATGATAACGCAAAATTGACTGAACTTTTTCTATATCAACTTGCTACCGCAATTCGCTTTATTGTGTCATGTTTTATTAGATTTGGCACAGCTGTGCCAATCTAATTTCATAAAACGAAATAAGTTTGGTGAAGCAGCTATTCTATACGTGTTTCATAACTTTACATAAAAGTGTAAATTTAATCATTGATGGCAAAAAGTATAAAACACTTGTTAAGAAAATTTATTTCTTTGAACTTGTAATATCATGGTTGCAACAATGCGGTCTCCTGTTTGAATTTCGACTTAGTAAATATAATAACCGTAGATCCGTTTTAGGCAGCTGCACAAAGAGGCAAATTAAACTTCGTAGCTGATTTACGTCTCCTTTAGGCAGTACACATATTCTGAAATTGTGATAGGGCGTTAAAATCGAGACGAATGTTTTACATAACATTGGTTTTATTTGAGGTAGATTTTTAGAAGTAATTTCGGGAGTTAGTTTTTGAGTTTTAGAACAAAAAAAAATGTACACATGCCGAATGAGTGTGTAATATTTAGAATACGACGGTACTATTTTGCATAGTGCAGTAGAATTTGTACAAATTCGATATTCGAATTCGACAGTACTATTTAACCGACTTGACAAATGGAGGAGCTTCTCAATCCGTTTGTGTTTTTATTTGTGTGTAAGTTACGCGACTACTCTGACATTTCTGAACCGATTTCGATGATTCGTTTTTGTTGGAATGGACTTGTCTCAGAAGTGGTTCCATTAAAGTAAATATTTCACCTCTAAGGGTAGCAAATTAGAGGACAAAGGGGACAGGTTTATTGAATTTCACCTACTTTTCCTTAACCGATTTAAACTGTTTTTCTTGGATTTTCCCCTGTATTATTAGTTGGAGAATCCGGTATCTATTGCCCTTCATTACGTGTCCAAAATCATGATATGCAACAAATCAACTCACTTATTTTTATGATTACATAAAACGTGTCTCACCTGGTACCGATTGAGGATCTTGGAGACGCAGCCGTGGGAGACGCGCAGTTGCCTCGAGATGACACAGGGTCGCACCCCCGCCGCCGCCATCTCTACAATCTTTAGTCTTATGTGGTTCGGCAGGGGCCGCCCGTTGATGAACAGTCCGCCGAGCTGATTAACTCTTCCCTGTCCTGGAGATTTTTTTAAAGTGATTGATTTAATTGTTCTTCTAATTTCAGCTCCGCCACCAAAAACGAGATTTTGTAGTGGATTTTAGAGTCAACGGCTTAGCGGTGGCAACTGTTAGTTGTGCAATACACAACGGGAAGTGAGCGTGCCAACAGTTCCGGCACCTATCTGGAAAGTAGGGAGGGTATTGTACGTGCACCCGGGGCCCGGAGAACCGGAAGAAGTTCGTGACAACGATCTGTGACGACCCTGTATACGAGCTGATCCGGGGTCAGAAGACCTGAACTTATAAGGTGTCTGTGCTTGCACAAGTTATAGTGCTCTTCCTGCATAACCAAGAGGTTGATACGGAGGGTTACTATAGTTAAAATACATGTCGAAACATACGGGACTGTTTTTCTAATTTTTACTACGATCTGCAGGGACGAAGATGAAAACGAGGACGAAAACGTTTTGTCCTCCACACGTATTTTTGTCAGTCGGTCACCCGTTTTTAGAGGCGGATGAGTGGGTTTTTTTCTGATTGCTATATGAGTGTTGTAATGGTTTATACAAAGCCAATTTAATGACTGCCATTGAAAAGTAAAACAAGGTAAAAGAAACTGTATGATTGAGGACACAACGACATCACACGATTGAATTAGTGTCAGATAAAATTCGTTGACAATTTTATGAGCTTTAATGGATTAGTTTATTTTGAATTGGATGATAAGAAAACAGCTTGAAAAATATGTATTTTTAGTCGTAACAGAATATTTTAATCCATTATTGTACTAACCACGCGAACGGATAACCTTTTGATTTCATTTTTTTTGCAGCAATCCATCAGGGTATTATCAAGATCAACGTTTTCAATACATTTTGCTTTGTAAATGCCACATGAAAATTTCCAATGTACAGTTTAGTCTTTTAAATATTTTTGTTTATTTTTCCTATTCAAGAACAAGGAGCAAAAGAAGAAGAGAGCTTGTAAAGTACTTATACGGATCTCTTTTTATTACGTACTCAGTACAAAACTAGAAATGTTAATGCAAAGATTTCACAAGTTTACGTGGACTTAATTTGCTCCTTTTAAAGAAGTGTTTCATAGTTGATTTAATTTGAAGCAAATTAAGGTTAATAAATACATTTAAAGTAATAATTACTTAATATCCTTACCTACCCACACATCCATACCATTTTGGTGTCGTTCCATAATGGTATGATACAATGTTTCCATCAACGAACATTCACATTTAACTACGATAGGTTCCACTGAGGCAGACCATTTTACTGTCTCACTGCCGACTATCTTTCAACAAAAACTAAAAAGCTCGTACCATCAAAACATTAGCACCGTAAAAACGTCACAAATAATGATAAATATCTGTTTACATTAAATTAAGCGGACGAGAATGAAGCACATAATTTAAATTGATTATCACCCATTTGTATTTACATAATTAAAATGACATGTTCAATTAATTACAATGTCATAAATATTGTGATCGAAATAAATGTTTCGACCGACGCGTTCGATGGTCGACGTCAGGCTTATCCGACTATAGCCATGAAGCCTATCAGACGGCGTTGTTTTTTCGATTGGAAAAAAGATCGATAGATCGCGTTATCTTTTTTTTCTGCGCGTGAGTGCAGTAGAGGAGGTTGTGTAGTGGACTGAGAGTGCCGCTGTGTTCGTACGGACAGGGTGTGCTGTGGTGGTGTGGGTGAGCTTCAGCGAGGAGGCTTCGTGTTGAGGGCTCTATGGTAATGTGTGCGTGAGTGCACATGGTATACTCCCACTTGCGCGTGTGTGTTGTGTGTAGAACAAGCATGCGTCCACAATATGGATTGTGGTTCGGGAAATCGATAAATTTTTGTTCGCTTATGCGACTTTTACAAATATACGGAATATTGTGAAACATAGTATAATTGAATAGTAGGTACAATATAATAATTATCTTCCGTACAATGTATATGTATCCTAAATATCATTTATTAAAACACGCTAGTCCAATGCGGGTTGGGGACGGTAGAATTACTCACGACATATTACAATATCAATATTTTTGATGTTCAATATAATAGTGGAAACTGTTATAAAAACTTGACGTTATTACCACCAGGGTAACATTTACATTTTTTTCAATACTTCTCGTTCCTCCAGTGAATTAAAATTTTGTCACCCGAGCGCTCTACCAAAACATGCGCCGGCGATATTGGAGGGGCTGAGATCTGCCCATTGAAGTAAAGCAGCCACAAATATAGACATCTCTTTCTAGCTAGAGCATAAACCATACCGGCTTTAAACTTGTTTTCGTCGTTTTCGTTAAAAGGATAGCGATTTCGGTAAGTCCTTTGATGTAAACAAAGTGCCTTATAAAATTAATTTTAATTATGACATTTTTAATTACTGACCACAGATTTTATTTCTAATTGATGATGTGAAATTGTTTTATGAACTTATTGGGATCGTATTCGAATTTGATTTTGATTTTCTGATTCAATTCATATTGCTTTTGTTTAATTATCCTATAGGGTAGTGCTTATCTAACTAGCAATAACATAATATTATAATTTGCGCGCGTTTTATCATCAATTTTATCTGCAGGGTTAGTTTTAAAATACTTACAATTTTGAAGAACTAGATTACTAACATCATAAACAACATCTTTTGTTTCTGGCCGGATCCAAGGAATTTTTTCTAAGTGTAATTTGTATTAATAATTATAACAAACTAATAGAGTAATTTCGCAAAAAAATAATGAACATCGTGGTGGTGAAACATTCTGACATTTAATTTAAAAAATTGAAATCTTTTTTCCATGACTTTTGATAATTTGTCAGATTTCGATTTAATGCAAAAATAAATAAATTAGTTAGATTTTTAGCTACTACTACTTTAGACTTTACTAAGAACAAATATTCAAACCATCCTCTATTGTACCGTGTGGGGTAATCGGTCAAAAACTCAGCAACATTGTTTATTTCCTACAAAAATCTTAAACAAGAATTTTCAGATCCCTTACTTGAGAAATGATTGGTTCACCATAATTGGTTCAGCGGTTTAGGTATGAAAACGTAATAGATAGACAGTTACTTTCGCATGTATAACATTAGTTTGAATATGTTCTTCTCAAGATAACAAAAGTTATGCAATATCGAAATTCAAAATTGAATAAAACTAAAACTTGTACTCTCTCACATAGTTACTCCTAAAAATATTCATTGAGTAGCAAAACCTGCAGAAGCCTCTAAAATTACTTAGCAGAAAACTCGATACTGGCGAAGTCCTAAAAGACATCGCCTATTAGTAAAAAGAGGTCGAAGATTACTCATATTTTTGAACTTGACTGACTTTTTTATGACACCAAGAGACGGGATGAACAAGTCGTTCGCCTGGTGGTAAGCGCAATACCTGTCCATAATAGTTGCAGTACCACTCAGAGTTCTGACTGCGCCCACCACCCATCCCATGTGCCTGTAATTTCACTAACAACTTTCAAAATCACTGCTTGACGTTAGAAATAGGTAATAAATTATCCTGTATAATTATCAATAAAATTGTATAATAAAAATGTATGTCGACGATGGGTTAGGATATCTAAACAACCTAATCGGAATCGAAAACCAAGTATATTTGTACAGCCAGAAACATAATATCTGTAAAGAGTCTGGAACGTTTCTTTGCTTGAAAAGAAAAAAACATATATATAATACATATATCCAGGAAAACATATTTTCATTTCATTGAAAATGATATTGTGTTTCCAATGAAATGAAACTATTTTTCCCCGGATCGAGCACTGGCTCGAAATACATTACTTTGTTGAAAACTTTAATAAAGTGTGAATTCTAGATTTCAAAGCATTCATTCCTAGTTCCTGCTTCTCTTGGCTATACTGGATTTTAAAAGATATTTCATAAAACTTATTATAAAGCACAAATGAAAACGAGTCCGAGCCGGCTCCTCTAACATAGACTCCATGCATAGTAAATTCCTGGTTAGAAACTGGTGGAATTCCCTTCGAAATTCGAGATTGCTTCCCAGTGCATGGTGTCAAACCATTGAGATGGTGTCCAACTAAATACTCATGGCGGCAGAAAAGCTCTGAGTCATAAAAAGGTACTGTTAAAAGTACATACAAATCTGTCTGCAGCAAAGTCTTTTGCGTACGAAAACAACAGTTCTGATTGTTTTTTGTCTAAAATTATCTTCTGTGAATAATATGTGATAATGATATTATTATAAACATACACAATAAGAAATTTTATGGTAAATATTTTGACAGAAATATATATTTCGGTATACATAGGTCTTATTATTATGCCTTATGTTGTATAAAAAATATAGAGTTGTCGGGTTTCCTCGATCCACATTGGAAATGAAACAATTCCTTTATAAAATAACGTATATTTGTTTTTTTTTCAACAAACTAACATTTCGGTCTCATGGGCGCAACTGACTCACAGGATAACTGTAAAGAGTTTTTTGGTCTTCATTTTGAAAAACAAATATACGCGATTTTAGGTCCAAAAAAGTAGTTTCATTTTACAAATGTCAACACAAACTGAGAACACATAAAATCTCACTCAAGATGTCCTGTTAACAACATGGCAGTGAAATTCCGTAGTAGTTCGAGTTTCTCGAGAAACTCAAATAGAAACTTCAACAATAGTGCACCTAGCGAGTTGCGCGTAGAAAGCGCGAGTACATAATAAATGCAGTGGAAAACATCGTTATTGCGAACGTGATGATTACGCTTCAACTCGTTCTTATACTTTGTGTCTCAGTGGCTGAATGACATTCAAAGTTCAATTGATCGAATAGACAAGTGTACAAGTTTATTGTTCCGCTACCTTAAATAAGTATTAAAATGTTCTGTCCATACCGATTTCTTAGGTTTTTGCATCGTTAGATCGTCACATTGGAAGTGAAATTATTTTTTCGAATCTAGATCTCTTAAATGAGTTTTTTTTTTTAATAAACCAACGTTTCGGGTCCTTTACAGAGGGCCCTTTACTCTCGAAGCACGAAATACGTAGTTACGACCATTTTCCCACTATGGATGACCAACAGACGTGACGTTGACGAACTTCGAAAGTATTCCTTTAAGTCATCCATAGTGGTCAAACCCCAGGTCGCGTGGTCACGGTTGACTGTCAGTTAATGATGCAATAGACCTCTGCTTCTGCTTCCGCAACTGCGGAAGTTCCGCACACTTTTCACAACGGAACTTTTAATGGAAGCTTGTAACATCCGCGTTGGATCCGGCGGTGGTAGGTAGGCTTTTAGTAGTTTTGTGTTAAGTGTGTAACTATGAAACTAAACACAAGCCTTGTTTGGAACTATTTCGTTGAGGTTAATAGAATAAAGATTCCTTCGAACCAGCTACTTCGCCATACCATGGGTAACGCTCTCCCAACAGAGCTACGGGACGAACCAGCGGACCTTATCGTCGCCTTACTTTCTCAAATTCGTATCTTAAAGCACAAAGTAACTGAAATGCAAAAAAATGCATTGTATATATAAATTTTGCAGGTTGATTTCACATCACATTTCCTTCATATTTACACACTGCTGGCTTTCACCTATTCTTAAAGTAACGCATCCAAATTAACAACCTTGATAGAAATTTAAAATAAATAGACATTTTTGCCATCTCCTGAAAAAAATTACTCTTTATAAGATACGTGTTGTTGCAGATTTTTGTAGTACGTTTTAACGACTTTTTTGTCTTAAATATTTTCTTTTTTTTTTAAATAAATGAATATCATCAAACTTAATTTAATTTTTTCTCCACAAAACATACATTTAAGGCACATAGGGGTATTATTAATTTTAGGACACGTTGAGTATTTTGAAGGAGCTGGTGCTTTTTAAAGACTTAACAACGACACTACAAGTCACCAGGACACTTATATTAGTAAAATAAGATTAACTTCTTACTATAGTTTTTGATATTGTTAACTGAACCTTCAAATTTTGAAACAATTTGTTTCTTTAAATAATAAGTGCTCAGGTAAATGTTTGCTTCGAACACGACAATAACGGACAGCGATGTACGAAATCAAAATTTAAACGGTGTGCTGCTGTCGTCTTCGGAAAATCGACTTAAATCGCCTTAATTAATTTATTCCAAATAAAATCGGCCCCACAAAGAGTCTTCAAAGCGTTCAATTTTGCATTGAATTGGTAATTTCCACGGCACAATAATTTGTAACTGTATCATTTCGGTTTACAGTTTTTTTACCATCTGGCAAGCCAAGAGTACTTACTTGAAGCGATGTTTGTTCTCACGGTTTTGTATAGCAAATAGTGATTGAGTTTTCTTTTTTCAGTACTTTGAAATTGGTTTAACAATTTGTGTGGTAGCCTAGGCTGAACTCCCACTGGCGTAGAGTCGAAGTACGCGACGCGTCATGTTTTCCGCCATTGCATATTGATTTATATTTTTCCATTATTAAGGTACAAGGACAGCGCAGGACCGATCGTCGTGGAGATCGTTGGGGGAGGCCTATGCCCAGCAGTGGGCGTCGAATGGCTGAATGATGAAGGTACAAATTTGTGTTATGCAAATATGGAATCGCAGATTGAGCGATTTCAGACGGTCAGACGCCGATCACACAGTGATCCAGGCGTGCTAATGTCGCCATGCGTTGTAGTTGAAAAA